AATATTCCTTCTTTGGAACTAGCTAAAGGTCAAGTTTCTTTGTATAGAATATAACAAAACTTCAAAATTTCAATTTAATATTAATTCCTAATTGAAATTCATTAATTAACAAATCCTTGTATTATCATTTCATTATAACATAACTTTCTACTTTGGAATAAGAGAGACATGATGAAAACTGATCTCTCTCAGTATGTCAGTTGTTGTTATTCAGTCTTCTTTGTTTATTACTTGCATTAATAAATTTTAATCATTGTAAGTATTTTTAGATTTCAAAATATTTGTTTGTTATAAATACATTTAAAATATTCAGTGCAAAGTCAAATTATTAAAAGTATCAATTTTATTCAAAACAAAAAAAACTCTTAATAATTAATTATAATTTCAATAATTTTACTAAATTTATTTACATGTATAAAACTTATAAACAAAACAATATTTTCTGTTTAAATATCTTAATTAAAATAATAAATTTAAAAATAATTTTTGATAATTTATATATATATAGTAACTAAGAANTACCTTTTTTTTTTTTTTATCTTACTGCTGTATACTAGAAGAAAATCAATAACTTTCCAAGTCAAACAAAATTTTATAAGTAAATACACAAAATTTTCAAAAACAGCTTTATAAATTTATATTCAAAATCTTTTTGAAGTATTTATACTAAAGTTTATATAGCAGATACTTTAAAATATTATTAAGATTTTAGTTACAAATATATTATATACAATAAATGCCATAAAAATCTATATTCTGACATATCTAAAATATAATTTCATTGATTTCTATTCAATTCCAAATACTTGTGAATTAAATGAGAAAATAATTATTCTTTTATACATAATCTTATACAGCAATTTTATCTAAATCTTTCCGTCTCTGAATAAGTGCCTGTAATATTTCTTTTCCAGTCAAATGCTAATGAGACAAGCAAAGGAGATTTAGAACAGATTACTGCACACAATACAAATACTTTATTGCTCATGGGAATAATGTTAAATATGAAACAGATGTAAAATTGGGTTGTAATAAATAATCTATTTTGAAAAGTGAACTTCTTAGTAATTTTAATATAAAAAAATAGGTTTAACTATATATTAAATAAGAGCAAAAAATTATAAATTAACCAAACAACAGCTTAAAAAACCAAACTTAAAAAATTAATGGCATAAAAATGAGATTTTAAATTAAAAATGTATTAAATTTTATTTATTTAAGAATCAAATGAAATAAATATTATAACACTTTGTTTTATTATTTAACTTTTAATTTTGAAACTGTTTAATTAATATTAACTGAACAGTTAAAAGTTACAGTAAATAATAAAAAGTTTGAACAGTTAACTTTAACTTTAAAATAATTAAAAAAAACAATATAAATTACTCTGTTTTATAGAAAATATAAATTTATATGTACAGTACATAATTAATTTTCATTGTTTTAATACATTTTATACACTGCTATTAATAAATAAAAAGTAAAAAAAAATTTCACTTCTTTTCTATATATATATACACATGATTTGATTTGTTTTATTTAACATAATATATTTCGGATTGAATTAAATAATAAAATTCTTTGCAACAAGTTACCTATTATAGTTTTTTTTATATTTAATTTGCACTGCTGAGCTAATATTTGATTATTGACATAAACCAAATGCTTTAGTTACATTAGAATGACTATAGCTAAATTCTAACAAAACTATGGATTTTTTAGAAGTCCAATAATCCTGCAAAATATATACATATATATATTTTTTTTTATAACCTTTATTTTATAAGAATAATTGAAATTATAAATATGATATAATACAGACCTGCTTAGAGAAGGTAGAAAATATTTTTTAGTCTTTTCAGGAAGTGTGTTCCCAATACATAATAAAAAAATGCATAATATCATTGATTTCTTTTAACAATTTACAAAATTTACAATACATTTATTTTAACAAAGTGACACATTTTGACCAATATATTATTATTCTTAATAAATTACACATATTTCTTAAACTATAAGTGAAAACACTTTAATGTGTCACATGTTAAAAGAAATACTTTTGTCTAAGATAATCATCTATTTATGAGTTACAATTCCTATGTATTGTTATTAAATATTCCTTCTTTGGAACTAGCTAAAGGTCAAGTTTCTTTGTATAGAATATAACAAAACTTCAAAATTTCAATTTAATATTAATTCCTAATTGAAATTCATTAATTAACAAATCCTTGTATTATCATTTCATTATAACATAACTTTCTACTTTGGAATAAGAGAGACATGATGAAAACTGATCTCTCTCAGTATGTCAGTTGTTGTTATTCAGTCTTCTTTGTTTATTACTTGCATTAATAAATTTTAATCATTGTAAGTATTTTTAGATTTCAAAATATTTGTTTGTTATAAATACATTTAAAATATTCAGTGCAAAGTCAAATTATTAAAAGTATCAATTTTATTCAAAACAAAAAAAACTCTTAATAATTAATTATAATTTCAATAATTTTACTAAATTTATTTACATGTATAAAACTTATAAACAAAACAATATTTTCTGTTTAAATATCTTAATTAAAATAATAAATTTAAAAATAATTTTTGATAATTTATATATATATAGTAACTAAGAAAAAGAATTACTAAAAAGTCCTAATAAATGAAAATTTATTACTACAGTTATTCTAATTTAATATGAATAATGTTCTCTTGCCCATAACAAATCAAATTAAAATCCAATACATCCAATTCTGTCTTTACATGGTATAGACATTCCTGAAAAATCTATATAAAAAAAAATAATAAAAAAGACATTGTCTGGAAAACTGAAGATTGGTTCCAAATCTTAAAAACCAGTAAAAAATATTACAATAAATCAATTAATATAATAATATGCATTTAAACAAAATATTTCAATTTTACTTAATAATCAGAGAAAGGACTTAACAAAATTTAATAAATTCATATTATTCTCACACACTTTAATTGAAAAAGTTGAATAAAAAGTAAACACTGAAATACTTCTAACTTTTAACATCAAATGGCATACAAAAACTATTCCATATTGAAAGAAATGTGATCATACAATGAAATTGTCAAATTTTAAATTAAATTCTTTTCTAACTCACTACAGAATAGTCAGAATGAAAGACTGGTTTTAGCTAGACACATTCAAAAAAGTCCCAAAAACGCAGTGAAATATTAATATGTATTTGAGCATATGTAACAACCTTAAATGTAAATTCTAAGAATTCTTTTAAAAAGGAGCAATTTTTGTAAAAAAAAAAAGTATAAATATTTTTTTACAATTAAAATTAAATGGAATTTTTTAAAATGGTATATTTATTGAAATGTGTTAGATCAAAAGAAATCATGTAAAACAAAATTAATTTTTTTCAGACCATGTCCAATCATAATACTATAAAAACAGAACTGGATATATATTAAACATAACTACAGTATGCATGTAAGATTCAAACCCAATAAAGAAAATTAAGAAAACATTAAGAAACTTTGTCAGATTGTCAGTTTGTAAACATTGAATTATGTATAGTGTGTATAAGTATAGTGCATGAATTAAGACAGGTTTAAAGTTTAAATTTATTATTATTAAACTATGTCCTAAAATATCAATTATCAAACAAATTTGTGAATATATTCAACTCAAAGAAATGGAATTGTCAGTAAAATTTGATTTAATAACTTTGAGGTAAGAAATTTATTAAATTCTAAAGTTCTAAAATATAAGCACCAAAACAATCACATCTTTTCATTTTTAATAAAGAAATTTTTTCTAGATTTAATCTCCCTATTAGTTTTAATTAATAATTTAGTATTATTTAGTCAATTTAGAAATAAACCCTATCAAAATCAAAATCCCAATTATTATTAGACCTAGAAATTCATGTTTGTAATGCTAAATTAATAACCTCTACTTCAACAAAACAGATTTTCTTTTTAGTAATTAAAAATTTCAAGCTATACTTATCTACAAAGTCATCCTGAGCTAGGGATTTTTCCCTCAGCCCCATAGTGGTTCCTACTGCTATAAATTAGTGTTATCTTTAAGAAAGCATTTTATTAATAAAGAAACATTCCCAAATTTCAATCTATTCAATAATATCAGAAAGTTGCATGTTATCCTATGGGCAAAAAGGGCAATTGCCTGGGCCCCAAACAAATATTTTATAAAATCATTACTGTAATAATGTCATAAAAATTTAAATTTGAGCCATATCCAGGAATCCTACATCACTGGTGTGGCACAGGAACAAGGTGCACTGTAGTAGTACCAAGCGTAAACCCTCCAGAAGTCACATTAAGAAAACAAATGAGGATACTGGAGGATTCTCCGCAAAGAAAAATCCAAATCAACTCAACATTCTATATAGGACTGGCTAATTCAAATTTGCCTGGACCCCCACGAAGCTATAATGTGCCACTGGGCGCACACTACGCCAGACCCCACAAAAACGCTAGACAACCCAGCTTATCTATCATCTCTAACTTATAAAATCAATTATATTAATTTAATTTGATGGCATTTTATCAATCTAGAAACCCTAAATATTTCAGGACCAACAAGTCCTGAAATAAGTTGTATTCTGCTCACATTTCCTGACTTATAATTATCTAAATTTAGCCTTTTAAATCTCTAATTTACTTATCAAAATTTGAAATTTAACCTGTAATTTATATGATCGCCTCTATACATTTACAGTATCTAGAACAACAAATCACATTAAACGGTGCAGGTGCTCTTTACATGCAGCAAATAATGTAAATATATGCAAAACTGAAGCAGGGATACTTTTAAAATGTTTAATGTGTCAATTTCAGATTTTAAATCTGAAATACACACATTTAAACAGTTTAAAATAAACAAACAAGTTAAAGTGCCTTTGACTTTACTCTACGTCGTCACGATCTGTTTGTTTAAACTTTTAAACGCATCTTTTATTTATTTATATTTGAGTAAGACGATGACAATTAAAGTGTCTTACCTTCTCAGATTCCTGACTCTTACATCCATTAAGGTAATGGACGACAAATCACTTGAGCAGAAAACTACAAACAGCGCCCCCTCGAATTTATTTACCGAATTTCGAAATTAGATAATATCTCATTTCTATGGTAACGTTAATGTAGTGGAAATTTTTTTTATTTAAAAATTCTTTACTCGTTATATCGAATTTCGTAATTATATGATTAATATTTATTGAGATTTTTCGGGAGAGAAAAAATTTATAATTTCTTTTGTTTTAAATTAGCGAACAGCGATGCGGTTAACTTGTTATTGCTGCATTTGCGTATGTGAAGTTGCGGCTACCTGTTTACACGCCACAATTTAACACTTTTTAAGCGTTTCTTCTACTAAATTAAGCTTTTTATCGCTTAAAAAAAACGTTGATTTGACTTTTAATTATGATATTTCTGAAGGATTTCTTAAAAAACAAGATTTATCAGTATATAACAAGACATATTCTCCTTACATAGAGCATTAAATTAGCTTCATATTCATTTTCTAGAACTAAAAACTAAATGTAATTATCCATATGGTAATAAAAACTGCGACATTAAATAAATGCCAATTTACATAAAAACAAATTCAAAAAGTTATTAATGCTTGTTATAATAAGGCAGAGTAATGTCTGTGCTTAGTAAAATATTAAAAACTAATGCATTAAGCTTTTAATTTTGCATATAAAACACTTTATCCAACGTAAATTCTCATTACGTTCATCGTAGAATTTTTTAATTGCAATTAAATAACAGTTTATTATATTATTGATGATAAAATCAGCTTTCTAATTCATTATTGCAAATAAATACAGTATTTTACAATGAATAAAATAATTTAATCTGTTTTGTGTCTAGTTCTTAATAATTATTTGTAATGTAATTTCATATAATGAGAAAACAAACATTTTGTTTAGCTTAATTTGATGATTCGTGCAAATTTTCGTTTTAGGAATTTTATTTATTTAAATTAATTATTTCAATAAAATTCATAAAAATGTAAATCTAAGTTAAAATTATTCTGAAGCAGATCTGGAGATGGTCTGCAACTGTGATTTAATATATGCTGTTATCTTCCTCAGGATCAGAGATAGAATTTGCCCTCACTCAAAGGGGTTTGAAGTGCATGGCATCCAAGCTAATAAATAGTGCACCAAATTGCACTAGAATACACTACTTGTACTCCAGTACAGTTGTATTTATTAGTTATTACATAGTAGACATAAGATATAGTCCAGTGTCTGCTTTGTAATAAAAACTCCAAATTCCACCTTGCACATGAAAACCCACACCTGTTAAGTAGCCATTAATATGTTGACTACTTTAGTAACAAAAGTAGGTCAAACTGAGTTGGACATCATCTTTTGTTTCACAGGGAGACAGGGATATCAGTAGAACAGAGAGGAAGGATATTCCAGAATAGAAAAAAGAAGTCCCTGAAAATAAACTGTTATAACTATATGTGACCTTCCCAGGTGGTCTGAGAGAAAACCTTTACTATAGAAGGAAGGAAAAACAAATGGCTTAAGAATTAAGCCATTTGTTTCTAAACTTAAGAATTGCTATGATTACCTTCACTTCTACGGCACTTCCAAAGTGGCAACTGAATCACAAATAATTCATCTAGTTGTTTCAAACTAGTTCTAATTGTTCTTAAAATAATCTATAAAATAGGTTGGTTTGAAAGTCAGTTAACAGATATATATTCAGTATATCTTAACTGACTTTTGAATCAACCTATATATGTTACATATCAGAGAAAAAATATTTTAAATAAATCTAAAAGTGTCCCATTTATAGTTGTCATTTTGAGATCATTTTATCATTGGTAATGTTGAAAATAATCCTTATTATAAAAGTATTTTATGTAATTTTAAAATCCGTAAATTAAAATTGTTTAAAAAATTATTTACTTAGTTTCAGAAGTTTATCATTAATTACTATGAATGTTTTATTTCCAAATGAATTTGTATTACTACTAAATTTTTATTTTTACAGTAAATATATTTTAAATACTCTTGTATTTATAATGGTTACAAATTTTATTTTCAATATAAAACAGAACATATGATTATCAATAATTCTTGCCAATTCCAATTTTTTTTTGTTAGAGTATAATTTAATTTTAATGCCAAACATTTTATTATAACTAAATTAGATTATTTTTTTTATGATAAACATTACAAATAATAATAAATCCTGAAAACTATAATAATTTTATATTTACGTACAGGTATCTCTTGTTTAATGTGCTAAATTAATTGCAGCAATCCCTTTATATTTGAGGCAGAAGTTTTAATTAATGTGGATTTTTCAGCTGTCTTTACTTAACATAGATAATGTATTTGATTAACACAGTTACAGAGGGATTAATTAACCATGTTAATCATGGGATGCTTCTATTTAACTCTAAGTAATAAATACACTTACCTTTAGCTGTATTCATCTATCAAATTGCAACATTAATAATTTATTTATATATATTCCTGATGGAGTTTTATAATTTTTATTTTATACATATTAAGTATATTGATAAAAATTTAAATAAGCAATTAGTATATATTTGAAATTGTTACAATACATTTATCTTTGGGATGATGCCATTTGATCAAACTATTCTTTCTTGCAATACCCAAAGATGGCTGATTAGCCAAACTTGTTTGCATATTTCTTTTGCCCTCATACTTCAATTAGGCATTTTATATTGTTAAATTACTTTAAAATAATCTTTTATGTGATTTATTAATACTTATGTATTTATAAATTTAAAAAAATTATTTTCTCACATATTTTCATTCCATTTTATAATGATTATGCCTTTTTACATACAGTACAGTCAAAACTCAGTTTAGTACTGCCATTTGATCATCTCTGAAAATTGGAATTAAATCAAGCGTTGCACTAAACCAAAGAATTTCGAGCAAAATTATTTAAAGTAATGAAATCCATGCACACAAGTTTGAGGTTTATGACTTATAAGTCACATGATTGGTGATAATTTTCTGACAATTCAATGATGATGGATGACATCCTTTATTAGGAATATATAATGGCTTCAATACAATGGATGCTATTTTGAGGTTTCACTGTACATTTAAAATATCTGTACATTCTGTAATGATTTTACTTAAGGAATAAAATGGTACAAGCCACCATAATTCATAAAATATGGAGGAAACAGTTTCTTAAGACTATTTTTGCCATGTTTTGAATGGTGTTACTTTAAAATAATCATAGATATATTGTGAAATATACACATTTTCATTATATAATTAGTAGCAAGATTTGTATGTAATTTGATAAAATTTTGCATTAAAAAAATGAATTCATGCCTTTTTAACATCAGATTTTTATTCCATATACAATTCTATATAATATAATATAAAATAAAAGTCAAGCAAATTATAAATATAACATTTAAAAAGCACTATCCAGATTTTGTAGATTCTTGTTTTTCAAATTTTGGATATTGGGCTTTTACTGCCTCCCAAGTTCTTCTTCCGTTTGCTAAATCACTAACTAATGGTGGGATATCATCCAGCTAAAAAACAAAAAAAATAAATGTTTTTTTTTTTTACTATAATTCTCCATCCAAACATTACAAATTTACACACAAATAATGCAATATTTTCAAATTATAAATGTTATTATAATTTATTGTAATTACTCAAGTGTGTGAAAAATTCTAAATTATATGCAATTTACAAGAGAATACAGACTTGTATATAAACGCTATTTATAAATTTCAGCGCACACTTCTAAATCTATCAATAATTAAGAATTTATTTAAAGTTTTAATGTAATTTGTAATTAATTACATTTTATATCAATATTACTCTAATTTTAAACTACCGACTTCCTTTATATAAGGTCTATAAAATGTGTACTTTTATAGAAGAGGAAAAATTCAATACTTGATTGAAAATAGTGGATAATACTATTAAAAATACATTACATTTGCTATGTAAATAATTTAAAATTTTTATTTTTGAATTCATGAAATAATTACTCTAGCTTCTTTGGTTAATAAAGAAGTTAGACAAAATTATTAAACAATCCAAGTTGTAAAGTTAAAGATTATTTTAAACAAGGGATGCATTGTTAGAGGAATAAATTTATTTTTATATTGTTAATAAATAAATAAATAAATACTTACAGGTGCCCTGATCTGTTCCATTGAATCTCTGTCTCTAAGTGTAACAGTATATGGTTCTTTCAATGTATCAAAATCTATTGTGATAGCAAAGGGGATAGCAATTTCATCAGTTCTCACATATCGACGGCCTATAGAACCACTACTATCATCAACTTTATGAGATACATCATAGCGTGTTAATTCCTCAGCTGAAAGAAATTTTTAAAATATTATATTTGCAAACTGTTAACTAAACCAAACTATAATATATTTGATTATTATTATTATTGAAAAATTAAGGTTGAATATACAGTAGAGCCTCGATTATCCGACCTAATTGGGGACTGGGGTTGGTTGGATAATTGAAAGGGCGGATAACCGAAAAGTATGAAAAAATCTATTATTAGTGTAGTATATTATTATATCCCATGTAATTAGTATATTAGTATATTGCTATTAACCTACTTTGC